TACCCAAAAAATATCAGTATCTGCAATGCCGCCTAGTGGCCTGGCTGTCCATTTTTCTGCCGACACACAAAAAGTTCAATATAATGTAGCGCCACCTAGTGGCCTGGCTGACCGGTTGACTGGCTACACAAAGGAATTCATAGCGGTTGTATTAACCGGGGAGGGGGCCTCAGAGTGCTCGTGACCCACAGCAGTTTCCCTGGTGGAGCTATTTCCACTATACTGTCCAATAAAAGACCCATCCTCGTTGAACTGTGCGTCTCCGCCATCGCCGCCATAGTCAACTAAACTTTCGTCACTGTTGTCCCTGTGCACCGTCCTGTAAGAAGGTGTGCGGCTCCCTTTTAACGGCTTATGGTCCTCAGTGTCACTAGGAGAAAAGGACATGCAGGTGTTATGATGACAGGATGAGGTAAAAAATGAGTTTAGTGCATGGCCATTTTTTTAGATGGAGCGCTGAAGGGCCGCCAATTCATTTTACTTTGGTTACCCAGGTGAAATTACCTTTGGTAGTTTTGTAATTTCCTTATTAATATTGAAAGTAGGATAGCCTAAGGCCTGATCCATTGATCTATCCCACCAATCTACAATTTTAGTTACTTATGATAATATTGTATAAATACTCAAATGTTTACTTAAATAGTACTACTTCTGATAGTCATTAACATGTCTGTCCACTGCAGCAGATTCATTTTCTGTAGCGAAATTTACTTTGCCCCAAGTCTAAAAAAAATGGTAGACATGAGCGATTAGTTGGTTCCATCACGCAACAGGGAAATTCAAGCAAAATCATACCTGTTCCAAATTCCCCCTGAAACCATAACATGAGGTGGAAAATAATACATATGTACTGTGTTGCTGGACATCAACTTTTCTCACCAACAAAGGTTGCAATGAAAAACAGAAAATCCAAGGCAATGATATGAAATGCCCCAAAGCAAAAAATACACATTATCACAATTTTGCAAACAAATGAAGAAACAGCAAAGAATGCTTTCTTTGAGCATTAGTTAGTCAACAATGAAATCAATGTGAGGTTATGATTCATGACAGTGAATAGCAGGTGAACGCTCCTTCATAAAGCTTTCATAATGATCATTAATAATTAATTACACCTGTTATTACCATTCATAACAGGTTATGTCAGCTTATATCACACATGAAAATAACTAACGTAATCAGGATAAAATCTAACTGCAGTTACATTATGGAAATCACTGCATATGGCAGAAAAAAAATTACTATGATATGTTACGATATCACTATGTAGGCTTTATGACAGTTCATGACCGTTTAGAAGACATATAAGGACAGTGGTGTAACCCTGTGATGGTTTTTACAGCAGGCCTTTTTCTCCAAGTGGCTTTAGTTACTGTTTATATAACAGATATCACCCCTTTGGTTCCTCCTCTCATGCTAGTCTAGCAGTACCCTGCCTTACCTTGCCTGACACCTAGCAGTACCCTTCCTTACCTTGCCTGACACCTAGCAGTACCCTTCCTTACCTTGCCTGACACCTAGCAGTACCCTTCCTTACCTTGCCTTACCTTGCCTGACAACTAGCAGTACCCTTCCTTACCTTGCCTGACACCTACATCCCCCAATACACAGTGCAGGAAGAACATATAGAATGATCAGAGGGAGAGCTATATAACCACTAACTCCTCATCCACACACACACACACACACACACACACACACACACACACACACACACACACACACACACACACACACACACACACACACACACACACACACACACACACACACACAGGGGATTGCTATATATGCTATGAGTATAAATAGATCCTGTCATGGCAGAATTGAGAGTATTTTACATTTACGTCATTTAGCAGACGCTCTTATCCAGAGCGACTTACAGTTAGTGAGTGCATACATTTTCATACTGGGCCCCCCGTGGGAATCGAACCCACAACCCTGGCGTTGCAAACGCCATGCTCTACCAGCTGAGCTACTAAGGACTACATTTTACTACGTTTTAAAATGGGAATAATGTTTTCATCTGTAGACAGAACTAGTTCTGTAGACTAGAGACTAGACTGACTTGTATCTTGTACACTTGGTAACCCATCAGTGTTTTATATCTGTGTTTTACTGTACCCTTCTGTGTCTAAGCATAGAGCACCCACACACCCATCCTAACATAGCAGTATGGACAGTGCCTTGCGAAAGTATTCCCCCGCCCCCTTGGCATTTTTCCTATTTTGTTGCCTTACAACCTGGAATTAAAATTGGTTTTTTTTTTGGGGGGGGGGGGGGTTTGTATCATTTGATTTACACAACATGCCTACCACTTTGAAGATGCAGCATATTTTTTCTTGTGAAACAAACAAATAAATAAATAAAACTTGAGCGTGCATAACTATTCACCCCCCCCCCCCCAAAGTCAATACTTTGTAGAGCCACATTTTTCAGTAATTACAGCTGCAAGTCTCTTGGGGTATGTCTCTATAAGCTTAGCACATCTAGCCACTGGGATTTTTGCCCATTCTTCAATGCAAAACAGCTCCAGCTCCCTCTAGTTGGATGGGTTCAGCTGGTGTACATCAATCTTTAAGTCATACCACAGATTCTCATTTGGCTTGAGGTCTGGTCTTTGACTAGGCCATTCCAAGACACTTAAATGCTTCCCCTTAAACCACTTGAGTGTTGCTTTAGCAGTATGCTTAGGGTCATTGTCCTGCTGGAAGGTGAACCTCCGTCCCAGTCTCAAATCTCTGGAAGACTGAAACAGGTTTCCCTCAAGAATTTCCCTGTATTTAGCGCCATCCATCATTCCTTCAATTCTGACCAGTTTCCCAGTCCCTGCCGATGAAAAACATCCCCACAGCATGATGCTGCCACCACCATGCTTCACTGTGGGAATGGTGTTCTCGGGGTGATGAGGGGAGTTGGGTTTGCGTCAGATATAGCGTGTCCCTTGATGGCCAAAAAGCTCAATTTTAGTCTCATCTGACCAGAGTACCTTCTTCCATATGTTTGGGGAGTCTCCCACATGCCTTTTGGCGAACACCAAACGTGTTTGCTTTTTTCTGGCCACTCTTCTGTAAAGCCCAGCTCTGTGGAGTGTACGGCTTAAAGTGGTCCTATGGACAGATACTCTGATCTCCGCTGTGGAGCTTTGCAGCTCCTTCAGGGTTATCTTTGGTCTCTTTGTTGCCCCTCTGATTAATGCCCTCCTTGCCTGGTCCGTGAGTTTTGGTGGGCGGCCCTCTCTTGGCAGGTTTGTTGTGGTGACATATTATTTCAATTTTTTTTATAATGGATTTAATGGTGCTCCGTGGGATGTTCAAAGTTTCTGATATTTTTTTATAACCCAACCCTGATCTGTACTTCTCCACAACTTTGTCCCTGACCTGTTTGGAGAGCTCCTTGGTCTTCATGGTGCCGCTTGCTTGGTGGTGCCCCTTGCTTAGTGGTGTTGCAGACTCTGGGGCCTTTCAGAACAGGTGTATATATACTGTGATCAAGTGACAGATCATGTGACACTTAGATTGCACACAGGAGGACTTTATTTAACTAAACAAGTCTTTCTTTTTTTTTTCACTTCACCAATTTGGACTATTTTGTGCATGTCCATTACATGAAATCCAAATAAAAATCCATTTAAATTACAGGTTGTAATGCAACAAAATAGGAAAAATGCCAAGGGGGATGAATACTTTTGCAAGGCACTGTAGGTTGTTATGTAAGCCTGTAGTCACACCAGAACAGCTCATTAGAGTTAGGTTGGTATGTCTTTATTGACATAAAGCTCCAGTCCACCTTGGTTGGAATAATGGCATGGATGGAAAGTATGATATCTCTTCACAAAGGCACTTTATATCATACATTTAGCCTTGTGATATATTGTCTAATACTCGTTATTTGAACAGTATAAACTCTGTTATATTGTCAATTTTTTTCTTATTTTAATGGACTTATTAGGGTTTCTCTCATGTTATGATCATAAACTAGATAGAGTTATGATGTGGACAATATAAACAGCATCCTTTTAGCCCTAAAACTGACAGTACTCTCAGTGCTGGCCACGTCCCTCCAACATGCTGATAGCTTCATACTGGATTACATATACTGTACATATCTAGGATTTCATCTAAGACATTATTGCCTACAGTGAGTTTCATATAAGATCTTCATCACACCATGCACATCAGACAACATTATATATCCATAATCTATAGATGTATGTATCACAGCATATCATGTATATTATATAACATATTTAGGTTTAAATATATGATACAAAAAAGTAATAATATCAAATATTAAAACAAAACCCATCATATAAATTGGAAAAAAGCTGGACCAGTACAAAATAATGTTTCCAAAACGCTATACATACATAAAGTGCTTCAATGTTCTTAATATAATATTATTAATTAATATCTGCATGGTTGGTTGGAAAAGCAAGCAGTCTAGAAACATTACTAGATGATGCTATTGCAAGCATATCTAGATTACTGCAGATAGTTAGAGGATGCTATTGCAAGCATATCCAGATTACTGCAGATAGTTAGATGATGCTATTGCAAGCATATCCAGATTACTGCAGATAGTTAGAGGATGCTATTGCAAGCATATCTAGATTACTGCAGATAGTAAGAGCTAATATGGACTGGGATGAGTGTCCTCACTGTATGTATGCTTATGTATGCAAACATTAATTTACTAAGCACGTATATTATATAATAGAATAGCTATATTGATACGCATAATGTACTCGTTACAAGGGATTCATTTGGTTAGAAATTAGACATTAATGGGGCAGGTACAGTATCTACGCATGCCAGTTTGGGATGCTGCAACTGAATACTGCACATTTTCCTGACAGTCCTAGGGAAAGTTTTTAAAAGCTAGAAAAAACTAAAACTTAGACCTGAATAATACTGTATATCCTGCTTCTCGAATGACGCAACACAGTCAAACACACTACAATATCAATCTGGTGGGTGGGCACACAAGCCACCAACACACTAAGCAGAGAAGAATCCCTTCCCCGTCCCCGTCCCTGACCCTGATCCCGTCCCCATCCCTGACCCCGTCCCTGACCCCATCCCTGACCCTGTCCCAACTTCTTCCATGAGAACAGGCTTGTGCTTTACTGTGTAGCTCCAAAGGGCTGCACTGCTAGAATCCCTGTTAGAACGATGCTGGTCCAATGGAGGTCTGAGGCCCAGCAGTTGGAGGTCAGCTGTTAGTAGGATGGGGGGGGCGGGGGGGCTCGTGCCCATCTGAGAGGAACCAGGTCAGAGGAGGGAGCGGGGACTTGGTGGGGTTGTTGGGCTTAGGGCAGGATCTTGGCCCATGGGCTCCAGAGGACAGAGTCACGTTTCTCACCTGTATTCCCCAAAAGTACAGTCATCCTCTTTCATGGGCTGGAACTCTGGGTCTGTGTGAGCGTCCTCTTTTTCTTTCACTAGGGACAGAGAGCAAATGGGTCTGTTACTATGACCTCTAGGTGATGGATGTGGAGACGGAAGTGAGTGTGTTTGTGTGTGTGTGTGTGTGTGTGTGTGTGTGCGTGTGTGCGTGCGTGTCTGCCTTTACATGTGTGATTGTATCACCCACCTGGGTATTTGCCTCCCTTGTTCCTCTTGATGAAGCAGATGATGAGGAGGATGAGGATGAGGAGAGCGATGGCACACATCAGACCGATGAACCATCCCTGGGTGGCGATGTCCACCTGTCTGGATGGTACAGCTGGTCAGGCAGCGAGGGGAGGAAGAGAACATGACCGTTAGTGACTGGCCTGGTTGCTTTAAATTAGGAAGGTAACCTTGTTCCTATACTGTAATATAATGAAAATGTAATGGACAATAACGTTTAGTTATGTTAACTCCTCATTATTAGCATATTGTAATGACAGCTCCTAAAGTAGATATGGACCAATAAAACATAAGTACAGGATAGTATGGACATAGGTTTCCAGAGAACCCTTTGTGAGCAATATATTTTTTTTGTACATATTGTTTGGAAATTGTTACACAGTGTTACTGTAACAGACAGTTGTTATGTTAGTGATGTTATGTTGTTGTTGTTGTTGTTGTTGTTGATAGTTATGTTAAACATCTCAGCTGTGGATATTACAGAGAGTGTTAATGATGGTTAACAGCTTGACTTCTACAGTACGTGAGGTAAACAACATTCACTTCTTTTCTAATGCTCTTTATTCCTTTCACTCTCAGACACACACACACACACACACACACACACACACACACACACACACACACACACACACACACACACACACACACACACACACACACACACACACACACACATACACAGACGTTCCAAAAAAAACAAAAGTTAACCACAGAAGGAAAGACAATCAGGTGGATAATTAGACAGTTACACATCCGTCTTCTACATTATGTGAATGATATCCATCATCTTTATGAAAATGCTCTTACTGTACGCCTCTCCAGGAAAACAAAACCTGTGTTCTTAACTTCTAACAAAACACACATATACAGACAGGAGGACATCATGCAGGTCAGAAAACTACCACGTCTACATCTCTACTGAACATGCCTACCGTACGTTTCCATTAGAATGACCACAACAACAGATATACTGTTAATAAACTGGACCGTATTCCTACTGAACAGGTGCCTGAGCAGTAGAGAATAACACATCTAGCATACCAAACAATGTTTCACAATCTCTACAGCAACACAGGGCAAGGCAAGGTGAGGCCGGGCGGCGCAGGTGACGACCTGCCAATCGCGTGCTGCCTCACCTGGAACGGTCACCAAAAGCTCCTCTGATTGGTGGAGCACCGCTTGGTCGTCGTGACCCTTGGCAACCACGCGTACCCTATAGGACAGGCCCTCCTTTAAGCCCTTCAGCACATAGGCCTGAGAGCAATTTACATACTCTTTCTGCCAGTCCTCTTCACCTAGAGAGTTGCAGGAAGAAAGGTGCTTTGAAAGATGTTTGTCTGTCTGGTGCACATTTTAGGACATCCATCATAGTCAAAATGTACGGTGCACATATTAGGACTACCATAGTTAGTTAGACTAACATTGTTAATGTCCTAATATGTGCACCGTACACCTGACATTATAACAACGTTGGGATGGGCTATGGAGTTTCATGCAGGGATGGTTTTATCTTGTGTCATGAACTGGCAGCTATCATATCAATATTAGATATCACTAATTGTGTAAATGGGTCTTTCTATAAACTAGGGTAGCAGTGAGGATTTCCTACACTGGGCAACTTGCTACAGCTACATTGATAATAAGCTACAATTTTTTTTCATGTCATTACATTAACATATATGGGGGATCATAGCTATATTCAATACAATTCACGAGTTGATTTAAAACCTATGTTTAATCCTTTATCATGGTTGGTGTCTTGACCAATTTGTTCAAAATAATGTGACATAAAACACGACCTTTCTGTCCTTGCATTCATGGCAGTGTAAGTTGTCGTTATATCATTAAATTAGACATTGAACTTTAACCCTGTAAGAATCCTGGATCCAGCTGTCGGACAGTTCTTTGTATAGAGATCTCAGAAATGTTATGTTACGGTGTGAAAACAGTTTTCATGGGCACACAAATCCAAAATAATAAATGCGATCGCTAAATCGAATGCTTCTAACCAAAAGAGTCACCTTACCTTGATACTTAAAACCTAAATTGATACTGTCATTAACGTAGTTCTTCAATAATTATGCATAATACTTGTCGGATGCGCATTTGGTGTCCAGCTGATTAGTTATGCCATGATATTTTTACACATCATCATCTGATCCAGGAAGGAATTTCCTGAATGACAGTCAAGTGAAGAACAGCTGTTGTGATAGCGCATGTGAAGCTACAACAGCCCAAGTGCTGGAAAAAAAAGGTGATTTCAAGGAATATTTTGGTGTCTCATTCGTTACGCCGGTGAAGACAGTTGTGCCTGGATCCACGTTGGATCTAATATCCCTAGCGAATTGATGTTGATCATCTGTTGTTGTCTGCTTGATTTACAGCAGGGTCTCGTTAGATTTAACAGAGAAAGCATCAAGGTAATGTGTTCATGTTTTCCTATGTTTTTGTGCCTCGGATTGGACACAGAGTCTACTGTTCGCAATTGTGTAGTATAGACTATTGCGCAACACCCAACGCTATTCCTATTAATTATTCTGGATATAATGACAACAAATTATATAGCCTAGTGGGTTTCTTCACAATATAATCTGGTAATGAAATAACATGACAAATACATTTTGGTTTTCCATGTTACACCTGCAATTTTAAACAATACAAGGGGATTGAAGTAACCTACTTGAACTTGAATTTGGAGCTCAGAAATTCATGTACTGGAATAAGCCTACCTTGAAGATAGGCCTCCCTTGAACATTTCCTCAATTTGGTGCTTGAAAAGTCCTTGTAATTATTGCAGCCAAGTCCTTTTAGACCAGGGATGGGCAACTCCAGTCCTCGGGGGCCTGATTGGTGTCACACTTTTGCCTCAGCCCCAGCTAACACACCTGACTCCAATAATCAACTAATCATGATATTCAGTTAGGAACGCAATTAGTTTAAATCAGCTGTGTTTGCAAGGGATGGGGAAAAAGTGTGACAGCACTCCGGCCCCCGAGCACTGGAGTTGCCCATCCCTGTTTTAGACTGTTTCTGCTGCTTTTTACTGTGTGTTATTAGGTTTGTGCCAGGGCAGTTTGAAGGTAGTATTCTGTGTTATGGCCAACAACAAAGATACTATTTGAATCAGACTAGATCATTTATCATATCTCTGCTAGACACATAACTGCCAATGTTTGTATAAACCTGCATTAGCCAATCATTGAGTAGGAGTCTCTTGTACCTAGATGTTTAAGTATAACTGATGTACAGTAGATAAAATAGCATGTCTTACTGTTGTCGTTCTTAACTATATATTCTACATAAACATGTTTTTCCGCTCCCCAGTACTCCCAACTGATAAGCGTTCCGTCCTCTCCCACGGAAGAGCTAACGTTCCCGAATGCCGGAGCAGCTGGATGCACTGAGCACAACAAGAGAAAAAGACAACCATGAAGCTCACACTCTAGGTCAAAGGTCAGGGAAAAATACAGTACTAATCAAACTCTTCCTGGTGAAAAATCTCCTAAAATACATCAATCTGAGTCTGACTTTGTTTAAGTCTGTGCACTCACACTCAACTTACTAAGATACTGACAAAGCCTGTAGATGACTTTGCTACAGTTTATACCAGTGGTTCCCAACCAGGGGTACTTGGCCTATCCACAGAGGGTACTTGAGAAGACTCATGAGACCATAGGCCTACTGGTAAAATGCACATGAGGGGGTACTTCATGGGTACTCCGGGCAGAGCAAAATTCAGTTGGTGATACAGTAACCAAAAAAGGTTGGGAACCACTGGTTTATACCATACAAATAACACATCATTTGCTTGTAGGCCTACGTTATATTTACATCTGTCTGTATCATAGAATCTATAGGTCAAAATCAAAGCAAGATGCACTTTGATTTTCCAATCCACTTTCAGTTAGGCTTACTTCAAAGTCTATCAAATCTACAGTTCCTCCTTTCCTATATGAGCCTTACAAACGGATTCAGACAATAAAGCCTGAACATTTGTAATACATTAAGAAAATCCCTAAGACTGTCAGATGTGCATGGACAGTGACTAGAGCAGCTGTACCCTTGTGGAATGGGTGGCGTGGAGGAGGAGGAGACCCTGCTATGGGAGGTGAGGGTTGGGTTTGGGTGTTCCCTGGAACAACATGGAGAAATATAAGAAACTCAACACTCAACAGACACAGCAGGCATAGAGGTAAGACAGTGAGCTGGTTACACACAGGTCCATCACCATGCATGCAGAAGGAAGTGTGAGAAAACAGTCAGCACGTTTGAGCAGATCAGTTGGAGCAGGATTCAAACACGCACGATGTCATGCACGGGACGGCACAGCGCAACATCAGCCAGACATAGACACAGAGACATAGATCAGCAGTCACAGAGTTGCCATCACGCCGTTAGAAAGTAAGATACAACACTGAAGAGTTTTGAGTGTGCTGCCAAAGAAGCACCACTGTGACGTTCTGGCTCCGGGACTCTTTGTTGTGAGCCAGGGTTGTCATTTTCTTTTGGGTGTATTTCTATGTGGGATCTGGTTGTTCATTTTCTATGTTTGGTTTTGTTGTTTATTGGGCATATGACTCCCAATCGGAGGTAACGAGTGTCAGCTGTTCGGCTCGTTATCTCTGATTGGGAGCCATATTTAATCTGTGTGGTTTCACCTTTGTTTGTGGGTTTTTGTTTCCGTGTTGCTGTCTGTATCAGTAGTGGAACTTCACGTATCGTATTTTGTTGTTTTCTGTGGTTGCTTTCATTTAATAAAGTAAGCATGTTTATCGGTACACGCGCTGCGCGTTGGTCTCATCCTTCAGACGATCGTGACAGAAAAACCCACCACAAGAGGACCAAGCGGCGTAACAAGCGGCAACAGGACCTACCTACGCAGGATTTATGGGAGCCTCCTAAGGACTTTTGGACATGGGAGGAGATAAGGGCTGGTAAGGGTCCTTGGGCACAACCAGAGGAGTACCACCGCCCTCGTGAAGAGCTGGAGGCAGCTGCAGCCGAGAGGAGGTGGTATGAGGAGGCAGCGCGGAGTCGAGGCTGGAAGCCCGTGGTTACTCCCCAAAAATTTCTTGGGGGGGGGCTAAAAGGGAGTGTGGCGAAGGCAGGTAGGAGACCTGCGCCTACTCCCTGGACTGACCGTGGAGAGCGGGAGTACGGGCAGACACCATGTTACGCAGTAGAGCGCATGGTGTCTCCTGTACGCAGGCATAGCCCGGTGCGGTACGTTCCAGCTCCTCGTATCGGCCGGGCTAGATTGAGTGTTGAGCCGGATGTCATGAGGCCGGCCCCACGCAGCAGGCCACCAATGCGTCTCCTCGGGCCGGCTTACATGGCACCAGCCCTACGTATGGTTTCCCCGGTTCGCCCACATAGCCCGGTGCGGGTTATTCCTCCTTCCCGTACTGGTTGGGCGACGGGGAGCATACAACCAGGTAGGGTTGGGCAGGCTCAGTGCTCAAGGGAGCCAGTACGCCTGCACGGTCCGGTATTTCCGGCGCCACCTCCCCGCTCCAGCCCAGTACCACCAGTGCCTACACCACGCACCGAGCCTCCTGTGTGTTCCCAGAGTCCTGTGCGTCCTGTTGCTGCTCCCCGCACTAGCCCTGAGATGCGTGTCCTCAGCCCGGGACCACCAGTTCCGGCACCACGCACTAGGACTTATGTGCGTCCCCAGGGTCCTGCATGCCCTGTTGCTGCTCCCCGCACTAGCCCTGAGATGCGTGTCCTCAGCCCGGGACCACCAGTTCCGGCACCACGCACTAGGACTTATGTGCGTCCCCAGGGTCCTGCATGCCCTGTTGCTTCTCCCCGCACTAGCCCTGAGATGCGTATCCTCAGCCCGGTACCTCCTGTTCCGGCACCACGCACCAGGCCTACGATGCGCCTCAGACGGCCAGAGTCTGCCGTCTGCCCAACGGGGCCTGAACTGTCCGTCTGCCCAACGCCGTCTGAACTGCCCGTCTGCCCAACGGCGCCTGAACTGCCCGTCTGCCCAACGCCGTCTGAACTGTCCGTCTGCCAAGCGCCGCAGGAGCTGCCCGTCTGCCATGAGCCTGCTAAGCCGCCCGTCTGCCATGAGCCTACAGAGCCGTCCGCCAGACCGGAGCCGCTAGAGCTCTCCGCCAGACAGGAGCAGCCTGAGCCTTCCGTCAGACCGGATCAGCCAGAGCCTTCCGCCAGACAGGAGCAGCCAGATCCTTCCGCCAGACGGGATCAGCCAGAGCCTTCCGCCAGCCATGAGTGGCCAGATCCGTCAGCCAGCCATGAGCCGCCAGATCCGTCAGCCAGCCATGAGCCGCCAGATCCGTCAGCCAGCCATGAGCAGCCAGATCCGTCAGAGCCAGCCAGCCAGGATCCGCCACGTAGTCCTGTGCTGCCCCTTAGTCCGGTGCTGTCCCTTAGCCTTGTGCTGCCTCTTAGTCCGGTGCTGCCCATTTATCCAGGTGGGTTTAAGTGGAGGGTGGTCATTGGGAGGAGGTCAAGAAAGCGGGTAGGAACTATAGTGGGGTGGTGGTCAAGCCCGGAGCCGGAACCGCCTCCGGGGAGCAACACCCACCCAGCCCTCCCCTATTGTGGGGTTGTGAGGCGCGGTCGCAGTCCGCGCCTTTAGGGGGGGGTACTGTGACGTTCTGGCTCCGGGACTCTTTGTTGTGAGCCAGGGTTGTCATTTTCTTTTGGGTGTATTTCTATGTGGGATCTGGTTGTTCATTTTCTATGTTTGGTTTTGTTGTTTATTGGGCATATGACTCCCAATCGGAGGTAACGAGTGTCAGCTGTTCGGCTCGTTATCTCTGATTGGGAGCCATATTTAATCTGTGTGGTTTCACCTTTGTTTGTGGGTTTTTGTTTCCGTGTTGCTGTCTGTATCAGTAGTGGAACTTCACGTATCGTATTTTGCCATATAATTATGTCTCTACAGATGTAGGATTTTAATTTGATCACTCTATTGTTGCTGAGAATTTCCCTGCACCGCAGGAAATGCAGATGAGCTTTGTGATTTACATAAATTCACTGAAAACCTGCACTAGCACACGGTTATATTAACACTTTTTATGTAGCCTCATTTTAACCAGCTAATAGCCTAACTACCGATCAAGCACCATTATGGACTAAACGTTCAAATCCTGTTGCTGCAGGATTATTTTTGTAAATGTTTTATTGTCACTTACACTTGCTGTGACAATATAGGTCAAATTAGGATCCTACATCTGTATGTAGCTATCTTCAAGGTTTCAGCTTTGAATTCAGGTCCTGCTGGGTCGAGGGGTCGAGGGGATTGGTGGAAGCAGGAGGAGAGTCTTTCAAAGGGGAACGCAGGCTTGGACCAGTCTTTGAAGCCAAGGCAGTATATATAAAGCATCTCAGAGTACAGTATGAGTGCTGATCTATTCATTAAAAATGATTCTAGGTCAGTACTCTTATTCTGAGATGCTTTGTAAATATGGGCCCAGATCTGTTTGTATGAGGAGCATGCAGACTCTGAGCGCTACAGGTACCTCCTCCAACCTTGTCTACTGAAGGCTGATACATTAGGACTTCGAGGGGAAAGGGGGGGGACACAAAAGTAGATATCAAGGTCAACATGACACCTGCATGTCCCTTTCATTAAATGTACCAGTGAGTAAGCATGAACATGCTGTAATATAAAACTAACTGGACCAGCTACTGTCAAAGTACAACTGGGAAACACACTCACGGTTAGTGATCTTACAACCATGACTACACAGAGGTTATATCATGCTTTGGCACAATGCTGTACACTTTTTCACACACCGAAGACAATTCAATAGTAGATCCACAAGGACAACAGACACACATTATAAACATAAAACAGAGAACCATGCTTCATAAGCGAGTATAAGTTACACAATACACCATCTAGATGTTTGGGGTTGACTTGAACCATTCAACATGGTACATGTGTGGAATGGTATGTAACTAAGGAGGACTCCCATACCATAACCATATCAATTTAAAGGGTATGTTCTCTACCGTCTTTGGCTACAGTCAAAGTTAGTTTTCTACTTGCGACCTTCAATAGCGTACATTCACACTTACCTTCGTCCATAATAGTGACGGCTTCCTCTGTAATGACGGGCCCTGCTCCCTGGCCTGTTTTGGCATTGAAATAAAACTTGTAGCGAGTGCTGTACTTGAGGTTGGGGAGCGTGACAGAGGTCTTGTTGGCCGGCAGGGCCAGCTCTTCCATCGGACCCAGCTCGTTGGAGCTATTGACTGAAGAGGTGGAGGGGCGGAGAGGTAGAGGAGTGGAGAGGTGGAGGAGGAGGTAATGTAGAGGTGGAGGAGTGGAGAGGTGGAGGAGGAGGTAATGTAGAGGTGGAGGAGTGGAGAGGTGGAGGAGGGGGTAATGTAGAGGTAGAGGAGTGGAGAGGTGGAGGAGGGGGTAATGTAGAGGTGGAGGAGTGGAGAGGTGGAGGAGGGGGTAATGTAGAGGTGGAGGAGTGGATAGGTGGAGGAGGAGGTAATGTAGAGGTGGAGGAGTGGAGAGGTGGAGGAGGAGGTAATGTAGAGGTGGAGGAGGGGGGTAATGTAGAGGTGGAGGAGTGGAGAGGTGGAGGAGGAGGTAATGTAGAGGTGGAGGAGTGGAGAGGTGGAGGAGGAGGTAATGTAGAGGTGGAGGAGTGGAGAGGTGGAGGAGGAGGTAATGTAGAGGTGGTGTAGCGAGATGGGACCGGTGGAGGGAGGGAGATGGGGTGGGGTGTAGCAAGATGGGACAGGTGGTAGGTGGAGGGGTGGATGGTGGAGGGGTGGAGTAGTGTATGTGTGGAAGGTGGAGGGGGGTGACAGATCAGATTAACCATCAAGCTGTGCGGTTCTCACTCTGTTTGATGATGTTTCTGGTCAATACAGCATACTGTCCATACATAGCTAACACACAGTACATACACAGGCTCAACTCTTATGTAATGACACCAGAGTACTATGGTGATAGTACTACACAGACGTAAAGGACCTAGTGTAGTAACTCTTCCTGTAGTAACTCTTCCTGTAGTAACTCCTCCTGTAGTAACTCTTCCTGTAGTAACTCTTCCTGTAGTAACTCTTCCTGTAGTAACTCCTCCTGTAGTAACTCTTCCTGTAGTAACTCTTCCTGTAGTAACTCTTCCTGTAGTAACTCCTCCTGTAGTAACTCCTCCTGTAGTAACTCCTCCTGTAGTAACTCCTCCTGTAGTAACTCTTCCTGTAGTAACTCTTCCTGTAGTAACTCTTCCTGTAGTAACCCTTATACTCTTCCTGTAGTACTCCTCCTGTAGTAACTCTTCCTGTAGTAACTCCTCCTGTAGTAACTCTTCCTGTAGTAACTCCTCCTGTAGTAACTCTTCCTGTAGTAACTCCTCCTGTAGTAACTCTTCCTGTAGTAACTCCTCCTGTAGTACTCTTCTGTAGTAACTCCTCCTGTAGTAACTCTTCCTGTAGTAACTCCTCCTGTAGTAACTCCTCCTGTAGTAACTCCTCCTGTAGTAACTCCTCCTGTAGTAACTCCTCCTGTAGTAACTCTACTGTAGTAACTCTTCCTGTAGTAACTCCTCCTGTAGTAACTCTTCCTGTAGTAACTCCTCCTGTAGTAACTCTTCCTGTAATAACTCTTCCTGTAGTAACTTTTCCTGTAGTAACTCCTCCTGTAGTAACTCCTCCTGTAGTAACTCTTCCTGTAGTAACTCTCCTGTAGTAACTCCTACTGTAGTAACTCCTCCTGTAGTAACTCCTCCTGTAGTACTCTTCCTGTATGTACTCTCCTGTAGTAACTCCTACTGTAGTAACTCCTCCTGTAGTAACTCCTCCTGTAGTAATTCCTCCTGTAGTAATCCTACTGTACACTAGAGACACTACAGACTACAAAGAAAGGGGGTGTTCTATTCAGTTTTGGAATCATCAAGAAAAGGCTCTCAAATCTCTGACAGACCCTCTAGCTCTATAGACCTACTATCTTATCCCTGATGTAACCTAACGTAGGTAGAAACGTCCCTGTGAAGCCTCACCTGGCTGGTATTTCAGGGTGTAGCCGGTGAGGTGTCCGTTGTGGTCGTTGGGAGGACCCCATTCCAGAGTCAAAGAGTCCAGGTTAGAGTTGGTGATCCTCAGGAAAGATGGCCGCCCAGGAACTGCATGATAGACACAAAGGGAATATTCACACAAAATAATTTTCTTCTGTATTTTTTTGTACATTTAGTTGAGCACAAAAGCTTCCTTGAATCGGCATACTAACTATGGATGCCGGACCACCCACCACGGAGCGTTGACTTGAATGAGAATGTCTGTTCTAGTAATTATATTTCTATATTTTATGACGTAGAATAAATGAATGTTGGCTCCTCCTACCTCCTTCGGGGGTCTCAAACTGCAGGGTGGAGCTGGCGGGGCCCTCCCCCTTGCTGTTGTAGACCCTGACGTTAAACAGGTAGAGGCTGTAGGGCTGCAGGCCGGGGAGCATGCCATGAGTCTTGTTCCCACTGAAGGTCAGAACCTGCTGCTTCACGTGGTGGGGGTTGTGTTTGTGGAGGCTCCGCTCACGCCAGTAATACACCTGGTAGAGACACAGACACAGAGGAGTTAGATGAGTGTGTGTCTGTTGGGGGGGTGGATGTGTTTGTGGAGGCTCCGGGGGGGGGGGGGGGTAAGTGGCGTGTGTGTTTGTGTTTGTGTGTGTGTGTGTGTGTGTGTATGCATGTGTGTGTGTGTGTGTGTGTATGCATGTGTGTGTGTGTGTGTCTGTGTGTCTGTTTCTATGCGTCGGCTGTTTTGTATCACAGTATTACATTATCCTCTGTCATCTTTGAAGACAGTGCTGTGTACAGTACCTTGTATCCCTTGAGAAGTCCCCGTACTGTCTTCGGGGGGACAGGCTCCCAGTGCACCTCAGCCAGGGTGCTGTTTAACACTAGGACCTGGACACTGTCTGGAGCCTGCAACGGCACTGTGGGAAACACGGTTAGAGGGAACACAATTAGAACAGAAAACAGTGACATTACGGGACAGGAAACACCACTTCATTTGAGAGGATTATATAAATTGTTGCTATAGTTACAGTAACTCCCTAGAACAGATCAAATGAAGAAGAACTAGAACACGTAGCAGCTTTGTATCTGTCAAGTCATGCAACACATCAGTCAGTTTTCAGGACACAGATTCAATCCCGACCTTAAAAGCATTTCAATGGAGATTCTCCATTAGGGGCGGCAGGTAGCCTAGTGGTTAAGATCGTTGGGCAAGTAACCAAAATGTAGCTGGTTCGACTCCCTGAGCCGACTAGGTGAACAATCTGCCGATGTGCCATTGAGCAAGGCACCTAACCCTAATTGCTCTTGTTAGTCGCTCTGGATAATGTTTAAAAAAAAGAAGCATGATGTATAGTCCAAGAAACTGTCCCATAGTGTATCCTTAAAGATACTAAATGGCGATGTGTGACTCACAGTCCTCTCCGGAGTGTCCGGTGACCACAGCTGGCTCAGGTCCAATCCCGTAGTCGTTGATGGCTTGAACCTTGACCTCGTATGGTGTGAAGGTGGGCATCCCAGAGACCATGAACTTGGAGACGTTGGCCACGGTCACTGACGTCCAGTCCTTGTCCACATCCTTCTGTCTCCACATCACCTTGTACTGCAGGCCTGGACCGTTAGCCTGGAGGCCTGACATTGGCTATGAGAGACAGATGACCACATTGTTATTACTGAACCAATGGTTATTCATTAGTTTGACTAACAGTACTGCATTAATGAACAGCCGACAGGCACCCTGCACAGTACTGCATTAATGAACAGGTGACACCATCTTCCTTACAAATAAAATGCTGCATCTGTAGCTTACCTTCCACAATATCATAAGGTTGTCATGTTCAGTTCCAAAACCTTCAACTCCACTGGGGTTCTCATCTGGAGCTAATAGGTGAAGAAATGCCAATTAAACAGAATGCCAAATCAACAGAATGCCAAATCAACAGAATGTCAAATCAACAGTATGCACAAATCTATAAACTGTTTTAGTCAATGAATTATACAATCAACCCCATTATTAACAAGTAAATCCTAGAGTGTGTACCTGCAGGGTTGGTCTTGTACATGTGGGAAGGTTTGGAGGGGTTGGAGAGACCCACAGCGTTCAGGGCCAGGACTCTGAAGGTATAGTGAACGTAAGGGGACAGTTTGAGGAAGGCCGTGGTCTTGCTACCCGGGACATCCGTCAGGTTGTGCCAGTGGCCATGTTGGTGGAGAGAGTCTGTGTACTGGATCACAAACTCTGAGGGGGAACGAGGTGGAAAAATGGTGAGTGATTGCAGGGAATGTAAGCCATGAGTTTTTACACGCTAACATGTAGAATGGTATTTAGAATGTATTATCTAACTCCAGTCTTGGTATAGTTGACACAGGCCTAATCTCTCTGAGCTCCCTGACATACTGTATACCTATCAACAGTACCCTTGAAGATCCTGACACTATCAGAACCTGCACGTGTTTTTAAACCCATAAAATCCACCATTAAATACATATGATATGGGCAGTGCTGAACAAACATAATTAGCAAGTACTCTGAGTAGTGCTAACATCATTAAAACACAGTGCGATTTACTAAACTTAATAGCACTGCAGCTATAGTACAATCTCAGGATAATAATGAAACAGACATTAGATAGGGATCTGGGAATAAAAGTCCTGCCATTAGTGCTGCACACTAATACACACAACACAAACACACACACACACACACACACACACACACATAGAGGAGCCTCCAGGCTTACTGACTGTACTGTATACAGGCCTCTCAAGGGACAACATGGATCAAATTCACACTAAGACACACATCAACATAGAAACACAGACAGACAGACAGACACACACACACACACAGGTACAGTGCCTTTCAAAAGTATTCATCCCCCTTGGCGTTTTTCCTATTTTGTTGCATTACAACCTGTAATTTAAATTGATTTTTATTTGGATTTCATGTAATGGACATACACAAAATAGTCCAAATTAGTGAAGTGAAATGAAAAAAATGTTTAAAAAAATTCTAAAGAATAAATAACGGAAAAGTGGTGCGTGCATTTTTATTCACCCCCTTTGCTATGAAGCCTCTAAATAAGATCTGGTGCAACCAATTACCTTCAGAAGTCACATAATTAGTTAAATAAAGTCCACCTGTGTGCAATCTAAGTGTCACATGATCTGTCACATGATCTCAGTATATATACACCTGTTCTGAGTCTGCAACACCACTAAGCAAGGGGCACCACCAAGCAAGAGGCACCATGAAGACCAAGGAGCTCTCCAAACAGGTCAGGGACAAAGTTGTGGAGAAGTACAGATCAGGGTTGGGTTATAAAAAAATATCTGAAACTTTGAACATCCCACGGAGCACCATTAAATCCATTATAAAAAAATTGAAAGAATATGGCACCACAACAAACCTGCCAAGAGAGGGCCACCCACCAAAACTCATGGACCAGGCAAGGAGGGCATTAATCAGAAAGGCAAAAAAGAGACCAAAGAAACCCTGAAGCACCTGCAAAGCTCCACAGCGGAGATTGGAGTATCTGTCCATAGGACCACTTTAAGCCGTGCTTAAAGAAAAAAATAAGCATGTGGGAGACTCCCCAAACATATGGAAGAAGGTACTCTGGTCAGATGAGACTAAAATTGAGCTTTTTGGCCATCAAGGAAAACGCTATGTCTGGGAAACTGGTCAGAATTGAAGGAATGATGGATGGAGCTCAATACAGGGAAATTCTTGAGAAACCTGTTTCAGTCTTCAAGAGATTTGAGACTGGGACGGAGGTTCACCTTCCAGCAGGACAATGACCCTAAGCATACTGCTAAAGCAACACTCAAGTGGTTTAAGGGGAAACATTTAAATGTCTCAAAGCCCAGACCTCAAGCCAATTGAGAATCTGTGGTATGACTTAAAGATTGCTGTACACCAGCGGAACCCATCCAACTTGAAGGAGCTGGAGCAGTTTTGCATTGAAGAATGGGCAAAAATCCCAGTGGCTAGATTTGCCAAGCTTATAGAGACATACCCCAAGAGACGTGCAGCTGTAATTGCTGCATAAGGTAGCTCTACAAAGTATTGATTTTGGGGGGGGTGAATAGTTATGCACGCTCAAGTTTTTTTTTTTTTTTTTGTCTTATTTCTTGTTTGTTTCACAAGAAAAAATATTTTGCATCTTCAAAGTGGTAGGCATGTTGTGTAAATAAAATGATACAAACCCCCCAAAAAATCAATTTTAATTCCAGGTTCCAGAATGCCGCAGCCCGTCTGGTGTTCAACCTTCCCAAGTTCTCTCACGTCACCCCCCTCCTCCGCACACTCCACTGGCTTCCAGTTGAAGCTCGCATCCGTTACAAGACCATGGTGCTTGCCTATGGAGCAGTGAGGGGAACGGCACCTCCGTACCTTCAGGCTCTGATCAGTCCCTACACCCAGGCGAGGGCATTGCGTTCATCCACCTCTGGCCTGCTGGCTCCCCTTCCTCTGCGGAAGCATAGTTCCCGCTCAGCCCAGTCAAAGCTGTTCGCTGCTCTGGCACCCCAATGGTGGAACAAGCTCCCTCACGACGCCAGGACAGCGGAGTCACTCACCACCTTCCGGAGACATTTGAAACCCCACCTCTTTAAGGAACACCTGGGATAGGATAAAGTAATCCTTCTACCCCCCCCCCCCCCCCCCCCCCCAAAAAAATAAAAAATAAAAAAAAGTATAATTGTAAAGTGGTTATCCCACTGGCCATAGGGTGAATGCACCAATTTGTAGTCGCTCTGGATAAGAGCGTCTGCTAAATGACGTAAATGTGCCCTTGAGCAAGGCACTTAACCCTAATTGCTCCTGTAAGTCGCTCTGGATAAGAGCGTCTGCTAAATGACTAAAATGTAAAATGTAAATGTAGTAAAAATGCCAAGGGGGGTGAATACTTTTCGCAAGCCAAGGGGGGTGAATACTTTTCGCAAGCCAAGGGGGGTGAATACTTTTCGCAAGCCAAGGGGGGTGAATACTTTCGCAAGGCACTGTACAGCAGGTACGTACTGTGAATAGGGCTGTTGTGTTCGTCTCCAGGTTTCCAGGTGAGCTGGACACTCTTGGGTTTCAGGTCAGTCAGCTCCAGGTCAGTAGGAGGGTCTGGTTGTTCTGGAGAACACGGGACATGTAGCTCAGTACAATAGACAGGTACATTACTGTAACTCCCAGCACAACAACATTATTCGGTCATGCCATGCCACGTATGGAGCCACAGACTGTAAAAAAAGAAGTATGGAACACAGGAAGAGAAGATCCTTTTTATTGCCACAAGAACGCTTCAGACAAATGAGGTGGATGGAAATGGACCAGTTCAAAAGGAACCCCATTCTGCAGCAGGGACAAAGACACCAAACAGCGTGACAAATATATACTTCAGGATGAAGCCTTTTATCTACTTCCCCAGAGTCAGATGAAGTTGTGGATACCATTTTTATGTCTTTGTGTGCAGTTTGAAGGAAGTTGATAACTAGTGTTAGCACAATTGCTAACTAGAGTTAGCAAATTGACTGGAAGTCTATGGTAACTGCTAGCATGCTAGTAGATACCATAGTCTTCCAGTCATTGCACTAACGCTAGTTAGATTTGGCTCGCAAAAGTACCTCTAACTTTCTTCATACTGGATGCAGAGACATAAAAATGGTATCCATGAGTTCATCTGACTCTGGGGAAGTAGACAAATGGCTTCATTGCCAAAATCCCGAAGTATCCCATTAAAGGTACTAGTAATTACTCCACACTCAAAGACACCGTTTTAATGAGTTGTATTGCTGATGTATTCATTGAAAAACACATGCTAAACAAAATAACAATTGCACATTTAGGGAAGAAAAAAATCTGCAAACTGCTTTTAAAATAAAGGATGAATGATATAAGAAAATGGTGAAATCAAAAAGCCCTTTAATAGACGGTGATTAAATTAAAACGACTGTCTGTTGCTCCGTCCGTCTGTCAGTCCGGATGCTGTTGATGTCACACACAAACACTGTGAATGATCACATCTGCGAGCAGCGCAGCATGCTTGCCTGTGCAGACACATAATCCACACACACACACACACAAGCCCATGGGACTGGGAGCAGAGCGTTTGTGTTTACTGCAGGTTTACCGTAGATGACAGCTGGAGTAGGAGTTGTCTCTGCCAGGTAGGAGAACAGGTGGGAGTGAGGTAGGGGTTAAGTAGTTAGTGATTAGAGACACAACAACAGGACACCCTCTGTCTTACTTGACGTTATTGTACATAATAGAATAGAATATAGTAGAATAGAATAACTGAATTTTTCCCAACAACACTAACAGATACAACATTGTTACTGTCATGTGATTTGAGGGATCATGAGCATGTTTCTGGTATGTAAGTTTATGAGAGAGAGAGTTACAGATGTAGGACCTTCATTTGATCACTGAGCGGCAGGAAATGCAGATCAGCTTTGTGATTTACATAAATTCACTGAAAACCTGCACTAACACACAGTTATATTAACAGTATTACACTTTTCATGTAGCCTAATTTTGACCAGCTAATAGGCTAACCACCGATCAAGCAACATCATGGATTAAGTGTTCAAATCGTCAATACAGGTCAAATTAAGATCCCACATCTGTACATACCGACGACCGTGAGCTCAGCGCTGGCAGAGTCCTGGTCCAGAGTAGTATTCATTATGCAGGTGTATGTTCCCGCATCATTCTCTGTCACATCTGTTATGGTCAGGCTGTCAGAGTCCACCAGAAATCTGGGAAGACATAGACAACGTCAGTCAGTTTAAAGGGTCCTCTTGTGTAAGTGTATAACCCTTTTGTTTGTGTTGAATTATGTGTTTTGTGTATGCACTCAGGAAGCCCTGATGGACTAATGGATAAACTAAATTATAAACTGGGTAGTTCGAGCTCTGAATTCTGATTGGCTGACAGCTGTGGTATATCAGACCATATACCACGGGTATGACAAAACATTTATTTTGACTGTTCTAATTACGTTGTTAACCCGTTTATAATAGCAATAAGGCACCTCAGGGGTTTGTGGTATATGGCCAATATACCACGGCTAAGGGCTGTATCCAGGCACTCCGCGTTGCGTTGTGCGTTAGAAGAGTCCTTATCCATGGTATATTGGCCATATACAACACCTCCTCGGGCTTTATTGCTTAATTGAACTAAAATACTGTCATAAGAGGAGAATATACAAAGCCAGGACTTACTACTGCAGATATAATTGCATGTGCTCTATGTTGAAACATGAGTGTTTGAGTACCACCAAGTACCTCTCGTCGTCGGGTAGCTCTCCGTTGTCTTTGAGCCAGGTCATGGTGGGGATGAGGGTGGGGTCGTGTTTTACTTTACACTCAAACACCACGTTCCTATTTCTCTGGGCCACCTTGTACTCCGGCTGCTTCAGGATACGAGTTGGCTCTGGGGGGTAGAGGTTGCTTCAGAAACAACACAACGCAATATCCTGCTCCGTTGTTTATCTCAATGAGACTAATCTGGACAATTAAAGTTGGATAAATAAGTGGTGTTCAGGGTTGTTTTATATTCTCAGGGCCATGAGTTTTCCCTGGTTAGATCATATGGTCAGGAAAAACTATTGACCCTACGTATTCTATATGGTATGGTTTTCTAACCTTCAGAAAAACCATCCAGTAGAGAGAGAGAGAGAGAGAGATAGAGAGAGAGAGAGAGAGAGAGAGACAGAGAGAGAGAGAGAGAGAGAGAGAGAGAGCGAGAGAGAGAGAGAGAGAGTGTGTGTAATGAGATAGAGTGTAAAGAGAGAGAGTGTAACTTCTAAATTTAATGTTTACTGTTCATATTTATTGTTTATTTCACTTTTGTTTACTATCTCTACTTCCTTGCTTTGGCAATGTTAACACACACTTTTCCCATGCCAATAAAGCCCTTAATTGAATTGAAATTGACTTGATTGAATTGAGAGAGAGGCGAGAAGAGAGCAGAGCGAGAGAGAGAGAGGAGAGAAAGGAGAGCAGGAGCGCGAGAGAGAAGTGAGCAGAGCGAGGAGAGAGAGAGGTCTGCGCTCCGGGATGATACGAGAGACGAGGCTCGCTGGTAGAGAGAGATAGCGACTCGCAGAGAGAATGAGAATGAGTGCGAGCGAGCAGAAGAATGAGAAGTGAGAATAGTGTGGTATCTCACCTTTGACCTCCAGATAGACATGATTCTCAGCGATGCCCAGAGTGTTCCTGGCCACACAGGTATACTGCCCACTGTTGAGGGCCTGGGCCACATATATCTCCAGAGTCCCGTTTTCATGCAGCAAGTAGGGGTCCCCTTCCAGGGTGCTGGACTGGCTGTCCTTAAACCTGACAGGGGATAGGGGAACCACAGGCTCTGAACTTTTAAGCTGGGATTGGGGTAAGATCTGTTGCACATACCAGTTTCTTAAAAAACGCTACAGCACTGTGTTGCACACATATTGCTGACAATACTGTGGCGCAACCTATCTTTTTAGTACCCATAACTGCATGTACAGTATACCAAAAAGTTCAAAGGTCGTGAACTCACCATGTGATTTTGGGGATGGGCGAGCCGAAGGAGGAACAGTCCAGAAAGGCGTGGTTGTTTCGGATCACCTGGTAGACCATGTTAGCTGGAGTCAGTACTCTGGGGTGTTTCAGCTATAAACAGACACAAGAATGTGTTTGCAAGTTCAATGCAATTCAGAGACAGAAAAGCTGGATTTTAAGCTTTAACTTCAAAGTTCTGAGTTCTAAGTTCGAGTAAGGGTCCACTCACAAAGAACGTTGATGAAGGCATTGGACAGCAGATATCCATATTCATTGGATGCGTTGCACTGATAGACTGCACTGGATCCAGTCTGGACTTCCTCGAAGATGATGGTGTCACCCTCCACCTTCCTATTGGGGTCCTCAGGTGAATCTAGCAAGGGGTCAAAACACGTGTCAAAGGTTTTACCATAAACCTAGAAAATTATTAACTTGAACATTGTCTGTCTGGCTAAACCTCACAATGGCACATGCAATGACTTAATCACAAATAGACTGTGGTGTCTGTGCACAGTGTCTACAATAAGAGACAGACATGACAACGCCACTCAATCAATCAATACTGAGTACTCACTCTCTATGGGGATGCCGTTCATGGCCCAGGTGATGGTGGGTTTGGGAGTACCACTGGCCCTGCAGATCAACAGACCCTTCTCTCTGGGGGCCAGCACCAGGTTCCTGGGGGTACTGATCCAGTAAGGTGCCGCTGGGATGGGGAGGACCAGACGAACACAACGCAAGCAGACGGTTGGTTAAAGGTCAAACATGGAAGTTCAGTTGATGTTCACCTCACATTTTGACTTGAATGCTGGCTGTATGGTTGGATCATCTTTTTTATGGTTTTATTTTGTATTTGTTTTTCAACAAGGCAATGTCGCTGTAGAATTTGCATCAAAATACAAGGTTAAACAATTACAACTAGAAAGGAAGAGGAAGAAAGAGGAAAAGGGTCAGAAAGATGACGGAACCCTCTGCTCCAGATACCATAGACAGCATAAAAACCCTGGAGGCTGATAGACCAAGTCAGCCATAAATTCCCCTTTCAGCCCCGCTCATCACAGACCTTTTTTTGTTGTGTTATTGAATGGATAGGACAGTGAAAGGTGGATAGGACAGTGAAAGGCAGACAGGAAAGGTAGGAGGAGTGCAAATCAGAAGGGCAGTGGGCAGAATTCTGACCCATGCCGACTCTGCAATAGGCTACATGTGTGCTAGAGTTATGGGAACTAACTGCTAGGCCACATGACATACCTTTGACGGTGACGCGGATGGTGTGGAGCACAGAGGCCAGGCGGTTGTGGGCGGTGCAGTGGTATTCTCCGGCGTCGGCCTCGGACACGTTCACGATACGCAGTAACTTCTGGAAGTGCAGGATGGAGGTACGGTTGTCAGGGAACTCCCCGCTCAGCTTACTCCACGAGACCTCTGGAGTGGGACTGGATAGGGAACAGGGGGAGGAGAGAGAGGAGAGAGATCGATACGCCGATGATATAGAAGAGCGAAGATTATAGCGATAGAGAGAGAGAGAGAGAGAGAGAGAGAGAGAGAGAGAATAGTGTGAACACATAAGTTTCCAGTGAACTTGCTTAGGTCAGTATGATCTATAAGCACACATACATAATGGTAAAAATGCATTAATAATAGAGGTATACTCTACACAACACATAATACAGGTAAAACACATTGACAGTTTCTCATTGGCACGGAGTACTTACAGTCCTTCAGTGATGCACTCCAACTCCAGAACCTGTCCTCTCAGCACCATCTTGGAGCTGCTGGAACCAGAAGGGATGAGGAAGGTGGGTTTCCTCTCCTCCGCAGAGCCGTCTGCAGTCACAACGCAGGGGTCAGAGACACAGCTAGTCACAACAAGACTATTCCTGAGGTTTTACCACAGTCAGTGCTGCAGCACTGTGGAGGTCCAGGTCAGGGCTCACACACTCAAACACAGCAGTTGACTTTTTAAAAGGTGATTTCTGTTTGAGCTGACATCAGCGGTGTTTATGGTGAAGCTTAAGGGAAAATAGCCTTTAAAAGTCTCTCGCAGTGTGCAGGTTGTAAATGTGTTGGAATTAATCCCTGCCTTCATCCCTTACTGTAAAGGGGTTATTTGGTGGAGGGGTAGGACTGTACTAAGAGGTGGTGGATATCTAAAGCATCATGTGTTTTCCTATACAGTTATAACAGATAGTAAACTACTTTCTAGTTCAAGGTGAGGCTAAGGATAACCTTCTCAAAAGGATCATCTTTGGGTATGATACTATGATATTAAGCACAAATGGTGCTTGTGATGATGGCAATGATGATACATAAAGAGAGGTACAGTGTTTCTTTGAGAATCTCTTCTGTCAGATCGGCTTGTCTGTAGCCTCATCTGTTGTACTGCTGACTGCATGACATGCACCTTCAGGGTACCCGACAGACAGACACATAGTTTTGCAAACAATGAGAAATGAACTGATAGGAAATGAAAGATGTCATAGACAGAGGAGGGGTTTTAAGTGGATTGGGAGGAAAGAATTTGGTTGGCTGGGAGAAGAGAATAGATTAACAGACTGGAGTGGTAGTGGTTGCAACATTCACAGTTTGCAAGGCTGTCAATCTGCTTTGCTCCAATAATAATTGGTCATTTAGCAGACGCTCTTATCCAGAGCAATTTACAGGAGCAATTAGGATTAAGTGCCTTGCTCAAGGGCACATCGACAGATTTTTCACCTAGTCGGCTCGGGGATTAGAACCAGCAACTTTTCGGTTACTGGCACAACGCTCTTAACCACTAAGCTACCTGCCGCTACCTATGAAATATATTACTATAATAGAGAGAAAGCTTTTCAAAAGTAGCCTACAATGTAATATAGACCTACTGAATGTAATACAGACAGACCTACTGAATGTAATACAGACCTACTGAATGTAATACAGACAGACCTACTGAATGTAATACAGACCTACTGAATGTAATACAGACCTACTGAATGTAATATAGTCCTACTGAATGTAATACAGACCTACTGAATGTAATACAGACCTACTGAATGTAATACAGACAGACCTACTGAATGTAATACAGACAGACCTACTGAATGTAATACAGACAGACCAACTGAATGTAATACAGACAGACCAACTGAATGTAATACAGACCTACTGAATGTAATACAGACCTACTGAATGTAATACAGATCTACTGAATGTAATACAGACCTACTGAATGTAATACAGATCTACTGAATGTAATACAGACAGACCTACTGAATGTAATACAGACCTACTGAATGTAATACAGACAGACCTACTGAATGTAATACAGATCTACTGAATGTAATACAGATGTCAATTGTCCATTTGAATTTACAAAATATGAGCAAGGCAAAGGAGGAACCATCATGCAATGGTTCATTTTAGTTATTTGAAATTATGTTAATAAATAGTTGCTGTTGTCACGCCCTGGCTCTGGGGACTCTTATATGTTGAGCCAGGGTGTGTAGGGTCTATGTTTTGTGTTCTATGTTCACGATCTAGTTTATGTGTTTCTATGTTGGCCGGGGTGGTTCTCAATCAGAGGCAACGTGAATCAGCTGTTGCTTGTTGTCTCTGATTGGGAACCATACTTAGGCAGCCTATTGTGCACTTGTCTTTTGTGGGATCTTGTTCCGTGTTGGTTTGTATTGTATAATCGTTTTGTTATTTTGTGTGTTTGTAAGTACTAAAATAAAAGTATGTACTCGTATCACGCTGCGCCTTGGTCTGCTTCATATGACGATCGTGACAGCTGTAGAAAAGATCATGTCTTTCACAAAATTGTATTCATTGGTAAAGTTATGGTGGGAGGTGGGGTTAGGTTAAGGTTTAGGGGGTTAATGTTAGTGGTTGATTTCTAGTATTGGTTTACTACTAAAGAAGACGACAATCACTAGGGTAAGGTTTAGAGGTCGATGTAAGTGGTTGGTTTCTATTGGTTGACGACCACAGGAAGATAGAACCACTAGGGGGTGCCAAAACTCACCACTAAAAAAATCAGTTTCATTGAATAAAGCAGCAACAGTCTCATTGATTGCATCCACTGTAACACAACAGAAAATAATCAAACATGCCACATGTTGAAGTCAATAAAGTGATTGGACAAATAAACATGAATGCTTGAATGATAAAATCAAACTGTGTGAACTGAACAAAATGCTGAACGATGATCATAGATATACTGTAGACAAAGAATAGATGGTCAAATCTTGTCTGTGAATCTGTATTGTCATGATGATCAGTCAGTGGTAACTGGACTGTATGAGAAAGCCTTTTGTTGTTGAGAGAGGCTTTTCATGATGACTACTAGACTACTACTGGCAATGCTGAGGTTGGGATCACTGATAGGAAACTCCTACGCAAACTGACACACACATTCAATGCTGAGCAGAAGTACACACACACACACACACACACACAAGAACACACACATGTGCACATGCACGCATTCACGCGCACACACACATTCACACACACACACACACACTTACGGTTGAGCACTGAGAGGGTGATGGGTTGTTTCTGCTGGATGGTCTGTGTGTGAGGGAAGCGGGCATAACAGATGTAGTCGTTCCTCGAGTCCTTCTTCAGAACGTTGGAGAAGTACAAGTCTCCGTTCAACGCCTGGAACACGCGGCTGCTCTGAGGCAGTCTCTGGAAGTCTGGGGGAGGAAATGAGGAGAACTATCAACCCCAGCAGGCCACACTACTGAGGCTTCCATTAATGTCTCATTGCATGAGGAATATTTTGACTCATAATTTGCAAGGCAATGAAACCAAACAGGTAAGACTACCCAAGATTTGACCATTCAGAAACAGGTGTGGAAAGGACATATTCCCCATTTGGTTCTTATATGATCCAGCTAAAATGTATAAAAAGTAACAGGTATCTACAGGTATCTACAGGTATCTACAGGTATCTACAGGTATCTACAGCACAACAGACAGTGGACTATAAAGACCATACTTACTGAAGTCCATCCAGAAGATGATGGGAGGTGGCAGGCCAGCAGGGGGCCGGCACTGTAGCACTAGAGACACACCCTCCTGAACTCTGATTGGCTCGTTCCTCTCCTTTGACCACAAGGGGGACCCTGAAGAGGCGAGGGAGATAGCCCCAAATGCACATGAGGAAAACATGATATACCAGTATGTGGTTTCTACATTTACCTAATGTCATCAAGAAGACTGAGAGAATAAAAGGACTGAGTTGTAGCTACATGGAAGGAATGAGTTGTAGCTACATGGAAGGAATGAGTTGTAGCTACATGGAAGGAATGAGTTGTAGCTACATGGAAGGAATGAGTTGTAGCTACATGGAAGGAATGAGTTGTAGCTACATGGAAGGAATGAGTTGTAGCTACATGGAAGGAATGAGTTGTAGCTACATGGAAGGAATGAGTTGTAGCTACATTTTACATTTTAGTCATTTAGCAGACGCTCTTATCCAGAGCGACTTACAGTTAGTGAGTGCATACATTTTTCATACTGGCCCCCCGTTAGAAACGAACCCACAACCCTGGCGTTGCAAGCGCCATGCTCTACCAACTGAGCTACAGGAGGAATGAGTTGTAGCTACATGGAAGGAATGAGTTCTAGCTACATGGAAGGAATTAGTTGTAGCTACATGGAAGGAATGAGTTCTAGCTACATGGAAGGAATGAGTTCTAGCTACATGGAAGGAATGAGTTCTAGCTACATGGAAGGAATGAGTTCTAGTTACTAAACTGCATCAAGCTAGAGGTAAACACAAAGGAAGTTGTGATAGGTGTTTCCAGGTAACAATTATTAGCATGATGTCTTTCCACATGTAACCATTACCTTCCATGAAGAGAGCATTGATGATGGAAAATACATCTCATTAGTTTCAAAAGAAAAGATTGAATGGTGATAAATCAAAGAGACACATCATTGATAAGCTTAGGGGAGAATGGACTGAGACAGATATGAGTTGATATGACTTGTTATGAGACGACTGAAAGGTGAGATATCTGAGAGACAGAGACGGGGGAGAGGCCCAGTGAGAGAGAGAGACATTGAGAAAGAGACAGAGACAGAGAGTGAGAGAGATTGTGTGAGTGAGTGAGTGAGAGAGAGAGAGAGGGAGAGAGAGAGAGAGAGAGAGAGAGAGAGAGAGAGAGAGAGAGAGAGAGAGAGAGAGAGAGAGAGAGAGAGAGAGAACGAGATAATGAATGAGGCCAATGCTTACTGGACTGTCTGATGACGATATTGTTGGACACTGCGGCCCCGTGTTCGTTTCTGGCTGTACATTGGTAGATTCCCTCGTACGTCTCGGCCTTCTCCCCACTGATGTCCACCACCAGGGTACCAGAGTGGGGTCGCATCGTTACCTTGGGATCATGGTCAATGTCAAAGTGGGTCCCGTTCCTGGTCCACGAGAAGCTGCGAGTGGAATGATGTCAATGTTAGTGAACATCCAAATAATTGTCACTGTCATCATTACATTTTCATATTTTATATAGCTATTAAATTCGCTATATCTTCTTGTGTTTAGCCATTTGGCACAAGAATGACCAGTATAACAATTGGTTGAGTGTGTGTATGTGTGTATGTGTGTGTGTGTGTGTGTGCGCGTGTGTGTGTACCTGGGATGTGGCTTCCCTTTGGCCTCACAGTGGATGACGACGTTCTCCCGAGGGTCGATGATGTAATCCTTGGGGGACTGTTGAGTTATGGTTGGCGGCTGCGGCACTACGGCAAGCACAGAAGGACACAGTCAAATCAACCACTGGCCTTTCTGCATAACTAAGCTGTTTTCTAATGATCAAGCACACTGCGAGCCACAAAATGACATGCTTGTGGACCATGCAAATAAACAAA